AACCCCTTTGGTTGCTTATATGTCTTAACAGGATACAGTGAGACGCTAGCACATTCCCATATCCCCACATACTCTGCTTCCTCTCATGTTGCCCCCCCCTCGAGTACAAACTCCCCCAGAGCCCGGCAGATTTCTCTATTGAATGACCCGAATATGGACCAAACCATGTGTTTCTTAATCTCTACATGAGCCCATTTTTCCATACAGAAGAACACTGCTCTTTCTTTAGATTTTTGCCTTCTCATGGGGCATTCCTCCCAATGTTCTAATATCCATCCCAAAGGGCTATACCTCGGGATGTCGGGGAGGTTTGGCTTTCCGTTGCCCCCTGATTTTTCCTGAATTTTACTCTTTTTCAAACCCATGTTTGGGACCTCTTTCCTCCCCCCTTCAATCAGAGTTGCCTTATTTAATCGGTGAACACAATGAAACGAGACAACAACCAAAAACAACAAATTTCTTGTTAACTTATCGATCACATGGAGAACCGAGCCACGGACTTTCTGTTAACAGATTTCTTGAGCTCTCTTACCTTCTCCTTGGATCCAGCAAGGTTCTTCGTTCCTCCTGATCCCATCAGTGGTTCCAGAGACCCCCCCCCCTTCGTTTCCCTTATCTCCCTTCTGGGGCTCTTTTAGTGTGTGTTCCCGAGAAAACCCATACTCGCTTCCCTGCTTTCCCGGAGCTTTCTTGTGTTGGTGTGTGTGTTTTGGGACAACTTTTCATTCACTTTCCCTTTGCCCGACCGTTTCCCTCGCGGGAGGATGGAGCTGCGGTCGCAGGGTCCGCACTCATTTCGTGATAATTTCACGTCTCATAAACACACACACGACCACTCTAATACCCAACCCCGCGATACTTATGGTTCCTTTTTTCGTGTGGAGTCTTCGTGCACATAGATTTTATGGGTAAAAAATAGCATATTCCCATGAATTACTACCCGTATTTCTAACAAAAGTACTTGAGAATGTATGAGAGCAATGTTCCTATTCCATTTACTATAGCATATTCACACTCACACGTACAGACCTAAAGAATATGTACAAGGTATATACCTGTGAAAAATTCCCTTTGAAATCAGTGATGTACTCACATTGGATGCCTTTGCATCTTCTCAGTGAGTGAAGGGTTGAGCCTTGAGGAGTGGGGGTATCAGCCTGGGATCTGTCACTGGCATTCAGTGATCCTCCAAGTATAGCAAGTTTGAGAGTTTGCCAGCTCTGAGAGGCCCCACTCAGAGGGAGGTTGCTGGTCACAGCCTGCTGTGGTCCAGGAGAGCTCAAAGGGTCTCACTTTGGACTGCTGTTTATAGGGCTTCAAGAGAGTGGGCTTTAGTGATAGTAATTTTCCATCTTGGCCACAATTTGGGGCAGTAACTTTCAAAGAAAGTTCAATAACAAATGTTAGTCCACTTGGATGGTTATTCAGGCAGGAAAAATAAGTTTCCAAAGCTGTTTGTTAAAGAGCAGGAGCTCTTTAAACAGCCCCAGTTTCTGGGAGCAGACAAGTGTTTTTGATAAGCTCAAGAGGAACTCAGCCCAGGTGCTGCTGTCAAGGCCAAGGCCTAATGAGCATTTCTCAGATCATAGTGTGGCCCGAGGGTGGAGAGGGGATGTACCACCACACTCTAGTATAGTGCACTATCTTTAAAGCAATTATATTAAAGCTAGAAAAAACAATTATTAAGTAGAAATTGATATTACCCATACCAATGACTGTGGGCAAATCTGTTGCTCAGTCTCAAGGAATAACCTTGGGGGGCATCCCCGCTCAAGGAAGGAATCTCCACACGTACTCCAAGAAAGGATATGTTAGAAGACCCCACCACTAAAAAGGGGGACTGGGCTTTTATACTAGTGTTCGACTTTCAGTTGTGTTTCTGGGCCAGCTGTGTCAGCTCAGCAACTTTAGATAAGTTATCAGTACTATCACTTGTTGGTTCCTTTATCTCAGGTACTTTACCAGGTCTGCCATATTTTTACCTCACTATCAGGATGTTTAACTTTGGGGCTGATGAGTCAGGCTGATTTTAGCATTTCTTCAACACCAAAAGCTGCATGACCCCCGCTTCTCCATTCACCAGTGATAGCTTTGCAAATAGGGTATTGTTCAAGTTGTTTTACCCCCACTCCAGACAGAGCATCCTGCTACATCCCTATCTTATTAGTAATATCCCACTTAATGCTCAAAATTTTAGTTACTATGGTAATTCGAAGGCAGTTGCTAACTGCCCTCCTTTTTCCTGTTGCTTTGGTACTTTAAAGTAGGTGTGGTGAGGTGTGAAACCTCAGCCCAATGTGGTAAAGGTATGTCCATGCCAGGGAGGTGTAATGTTGCCCTGGTTAGTGCACTGTTGGTGGTGGAGCAGGGCCCTTCAGCTGCTTCTTGTGCTGGGGCTGGGCTGGTTGTTGTGTCTATTGCCAATTGTGCTTTAAGATGATTGTATTACATCTGAAATGGATTATAACATGCCCATGTTGGCTTGATGAAGACCGTCAAACTGGGGGTGTGTTTCCACAGTTGTCTGAAGCAAGTGCAAGTTCATACTGCTGCCAGGAAGAGGTTCTTACCATCACTGGTTTTCTGCTTCAGACCTGTTGCCAAATTGTGCTGCTCATGAGTTGCAGTCAGCAAGATGAGGACATTCTCTAAAGATCTTGTTATATTCAGGTTGTTTGGGCTGTTTTCACAGCAAGCTGATCTTCCTGTGCTGCTTCATCCCCCCAGGAGTGTTTCAAATATTTGCGTGCATGTATTTTTCCTTAAAGTACCCTTTCATCCTGAAAAACAAACCTGGATTGAACAACAAATTGAGACCCCGTGGAGTTAACATATCTTAAATCACAGTGGGCTAACTCCAGACTATCATAGGTGAAGTTGTTAGTATTCAGAAACACATAATCACGGAATGATTATATGCAGGTGCTTTTATTGAAGAGCTCTGGGTGTCAGGGGTACAGACCCAAATCTGACTCCCACATGGGTTCGGGATGAACATGTTTTTATACCCTTATTGTTATATAACTACATATTAATTATTAAACTTATATTGTTCTATCGTACACATTGGTTTCATCCAAGCATGGATTTTTGTAATTTCCATCAAACCCCCTCAACATAATTTCTCATGATTCTTGTTACGATTAAACAATAATTATATACAATTACCAAACAATCATCGCATCTAACAATCATGTCATTTATCATAGTCATTAAATGATTATACAGGTGCAGCCTAACATTTTCCCAGGGTCTACCTTAACATTTTCCCAGGGCCTACCAGGCCTATCCTTCCTTCCTAACTCCCCTGAATGTTCCATGCTTTTAGAAACATTTTACCCCTTATACTATCAAAGTTATTAGCTTGTCTTTCAGAGAGGCTAGTCCTCTCTGTCATGTTCTCTATTAAGGGTGCTTGGTTTTATTTTTTTCATTGCTTATTGTGGTATACTCAAATTGTGATGAGTTGATTGATACATTATTTGTTGAGTACCCATTCCTTGGGAATGCCAGTGAGCAGCTTGCACCAAAGCTGCTGCCCTGGCAAGTTGTGTGCTGAGGTATCGATTTAGGGCATCCCCATCATAGGGAATAATGTGCTCTGACTCCATGATTCAGAAGGCTGAACAATTGCTTTATTAAGCTATATTATATTACACTAATACTATATTAAAATTATGCTAAAAAGATACTAAAGAAAAACTTGTGACTGTCTGAGACAGTCACAACACAGCTTTGACCCAATTGATTAATCAATCTAAACAACTATCAGCAGAATCCAATTAACAAATCACTCTCGGTAAAAAATCTCCATAACACATTGCATATGTGCCAATCAACAGAAGCAGCAAGTAGAGATAAGAATTGTTTTCTCCTCTCTGAGTTTCTCACTACCTTCCCCGGGAAAAATCCTGGGAGAGAGAATTATGTCTCTCTCTGATCAGAGAATGTACATACCACATTGAGGCACATTCATATTTCTGGGTTGCAGTAAAAGCACTTTGCTGCTTGTTTGCACATCTTCTCCTGCCCAGGTACACCACTTGTAGGTTGTCCTTAGTTCCCTAAATTTGCAGGTTTTACTTCCCAGTGTCATGGGGCAGAAACCAGGCAGTCAAATCTGACCTGATCAGTCATGAGATCTGTTTCCTGTTATCATAGTAACTATAAGCCATACTTGTCAATTAACCTTGTGTCAGATGCTGTAAAAACACAGGGGGAATAATAAATTTCTTGTTTCAAAGTAATTGTAATGACAGAGAATGAATTAGAATGAAAGCTGACTACCACAAATGGGATAGCACTGGTGGGTATGTGTGGTTTGAGTTTTGTTTTCTTTTGTTGCCATACAACCAATGTATGTTTAAAGCAGGGTAATAGGTAGTTTTGTAAATAATTTCTTTAAGTGTGAGGGAGAACATAAAAATATTGGCTACAAAGGCTGTATTTAAAGGTAAGTATCATAATTTTTCTATAAGAGAGAATGAGAGAGTGGGAAGTAGAGTGGGCATTGTCTATGACTTCATGTATGTGTGCAGGAAAGCAGTTTAATGATAGGGAAGAAAAGAATGGCCTGTGTTGTGAATGTGACTTCTGTTAGCATTCTAAGTGGGTATGAGTAGTTAAATTCTAGGCATCAAAACAAGACAGCAGATATTAAAGAAATCTAAGGAGTGATCCAGCTGGAGCTGGAATTTCAGCAGAGTAGCAGATAGAAAAGTCTATATGTTAAATAACTGGGAAAAGCTGAGATCCAGATGTTGTCTGGAAGTAGAGATCTAGACAGATCGAAGTCAGCTAACAAAAATGCTTTTTATCCACTTCATTTACCCCTTTACTGTAAAGATTGCAATAAATCCAAAAATAGTGTATTGAAGCTGCTTTCTCAGGAGTCTCTGTATAGAGTTTGTGGTAAAGGCAGGAAGAGTTCAATCTACTACATTTGTATATTATCAGGGTATGGAATCAGTACCCTGCCTTAACTCTTTTTTTCCTTTCAGATTTTCTGTTTTGTACATACGTTGTTTTGTATATACTGTATATGATGACTTCGGTGGTCAGTGAACGTACCCGGGGTACTAGGGACAAAATGCAAATTTCAACCTCTCAGCCAACACAACTACAGAAACAAGTAGTACAGGTACGTGCTACTATATAATCTTTGAGTTGAAAGTGAGCATGCAATGATTTGTTTCTTCCCTAAGTCAGTAAAAACTGGGAAAAGATGGGGGGGACTATGGTCTTATTTGGAAAAGTCTTTTTGTTTGATATCTTGCTTTAATTGCTTAGTTATCCAGCACAACATTAAGCTGTCCCTGTATTCTTGTCTCTGAAGGAGCTTTGTGTTCTTCAGCAACATTTCCCATGAGTGAGGAATTCTATGCCTATCCCTGTCAGGATTTCTGTCCTGTTACCTTACTGTCTTCAGAGCTCAGCTCTTTCATATGCCAGCCTCATGATGCTAGAAAATTTCTGGTCAATAGAGGGATTTAGGTGGGTGGGTGGGAAAAGCTTTGTTAGATCCACATTGTGTTCTACAGCATGGTTCAGCATATTTAGAAGTCACAAAATCCTAAACTTCTTGTGCATTGCCTTCACAAAGTGAAATGAAGATGGTTGTCCACTAGCAGACTAAAGTTATTTTGAGTATCTGCAAGATGGAAATTAATCTCTTACCCCATTGTCTTGGTTCTCAGCAGCAGAATATTCAAGTTGTGTGCTTGCCTGGGTTAAAGTGCAAAATGTCTCTGTTCCTGGCAACTCATTATTCTTTTGTCAGGTACTTTTCAAAATTTTATTCAATTCAAGAATTGCCTCAGTTCTCAGTCTAGAGGTGCTCCCCTGGGAAATTGTCTTATTTTCTGGACTGATCTTTAACATGGAGAGGCTCTTCTGCTCTGTACAATATTAATTATGTGACCTCAAGCCCTGATCTCCTTGTGTTACAGTGCTTTGCATAGTGCTGATTCATGCTAATGTGTGGGTTTAGAAAGTGACTTTGAACAAATGAAGTTGAATTTGGTTTTGCTTTATAACAAGTAAGTGTGCAGGAGTATAATGAGCAGGTTGACAGAAGTGATGGGTTCCCCTTTTTTGATGTTTGCCAGACAGTGGAGTACTCTGCCCAGTTTTGGGTTCCCTAATGCAAGGCAGACATTGGCAAATGGGAGCAAGCCCAGTAAGGAGCTGTGAAGATGGTTGAGGGGCTGGAGCACAGGATGAATGAGTGGTGACTGAGGGAACTGGATTTGGTCATCCCTAGAAGTCAAGGCCAGGTTTTCTATTCAGATACCTCATGAAAGAGTATAAAAAAGGTGAAGCCAGCCTCAGAGACAATGGCACAAGTTGGAACACTGGAAATTCCAGCTGTTAAATGGGAAAAAATTGTTTACCACAAACACTGTCATGGATTAGAGAGGTTGTGGGATCTCTATCTGGCCTCAAGCAGCTGCTCTGATGGGACATGCTCTCAGTGGGAGGTTGCACTGATTATCACTAGACTATATTTGCAACTGATGTGATGTAGGAATGCGCCCCCTAATGACAGAGTGGCAAAACTAACCTTTGTCCCCCAAAAAAGGAAAGAAGCCCAGAAGCTTCTCTCAACTGTTAGGTGGAAAGCCACCTTATAGGGCCTCAGGGACTTCACCAAACACTAGAGAACATCTAATTGGATAGAAGCCAAAAAGTCCCACCTGATCAATCAAGTAGAAAAGAACAGAACAAAAGAGAAGAGGGGCTTTTGTGTGAAGTGTCTCTACCGGGGCAGACCTCTGTACCTAGCTCGAGTTTTTCTATTTGTTATTTTACCTTTATTAAACCTTTTTTGTTTCTAACACCACAGCAGAAGCCATCCTGCTTATTTTATGCCCCCAAAGTGTAGCTGAGCTATCCTTGGGTGTATTAAGTGTTTTTCTAGGGCTTATGAGAACTGGCCCCAGGACAAACAACTTAATAATGTGATTCATTGATTTTAAGCATTAAGTCTTAGACCTTTTTCTGCATTTTTTTCCCACTTATTCTACCTCTTGCATAATAGATATTGGTTTGGTCATTTCAGTGGAAAAGATGATTATTTAATATACAGCAGATATGTTTTAGCGCACTGTATATTTTTATTGTTTAGATCAGATGAACCTCCCTCCTTATGCTTTATAGATCAACAGAAACATGTGGGATGATACTATTCAATTACCACTGATTCATTTTTGGAATGTAGAATTATGTTACTTTCTCAAATGAAGATTTCATTGTCGTAGTCACATTGAACATCATTTAAGTTATTTAAGAAATTACATCACAGTTCTTTTTCATTGTTTCTGGATAATAAATATACTATTTTATTTTAAGATCTGGGCCTATTACTGTCACTTTGTTTTGCATACTTCTGTTTTCTGGTAGTTCAAAGTTGTTAAAAATTTTCTTCACTCTGTTATGCTGCAAAGATAATGTATCTTGTAAGGTTGAGTAAAGTTCTAGCCGTCTTAAGATGCTACCATTTTCTTAGTTGCAATTAAAACTTAATTATACTGTTTTATAGGATACTACAATGACACTTATAACAATGGTGTCTTAAAAATGAAGAAGAAACACTCACTGGGGAAAAAAAAGCAAGACTTTTTGTGACACTAATTTGGTGTTTGTGTAGTAAACACATCTTGTGGGGTTTTGTTTTTTTTTTTTTTTTCTTCTGAATCTTCAATTCTATCTGTGTGCAATCCACTGGCATAAATGTTAGTGATATTGCACCTGCTTGTGTTTCTAAGCTTTCTCCTTACACAGGAAAACTAAAGATATTGTTACTCATTTGATAGTATTATAAAGTTTGTATATTTTTGTCTTCTAACATGGACTTGAAAAAGGCTGGTTTACAGAAGAAATAAATCTCAATGGTTTCCCATTTCTGGTCAAATATCCTATCATGTCTCTATAGAAATTACATTGAATGTTTGTATTCTGGATATCTTTAAAGGAAATCTTTTCACTAGCTAAAAAGTTGCTGTGGGCATGAGGAGGCTGAAGTCAGAGCAAGAAGATGGATCATCAGGACTTAATGTCTGAAACCAGCAGACCTTTTATTTTTGCTCTCTGCTGAGCTCTCAATAGATACCAAGAGTAAGCTCCTTTACACAGAGCACCGCACTGATGTGGGAAGCTTTTGTGGAGGGCGGCACCAGGGCTGGCACAAGGAATTCCAGAGCAGGCTCTCCTCTTGTGTTACTGCTATAAATGAGAAGCTTGACTAGGCCAATAGTCAGGCAGCAATCAATTTATTAATTAATATGGTAAAGTATCAGCAATACAGCACTGGGTACAGTGGGGGAAATTTTCCCTCCAACTGCACACCAATAGTTGGGGCTTACAGATATTTATAGGGGTAATCATAAGCTTTCTCAGCAATTTCTATCCCCAATTTTTATGTCACAATTCTATACACTATTGTGATTTAGTTTTTCTCAGGATGTATCCCAGAAAGGAGTATCCCCAGATGGTGGGGTTCGACTTCCGAAAGAAGAAAGAAGTCTTCCAGCTGGTGAGGTCCAGATTCCAGATGTGGGTCCACCTTTTAATTGCAAGGACTATAAATCTCATAACAGTGATGTCCAGCTTCCCTTGGTTGAAACTATTAGTCCTTGAGTTGATGTTCATCTTCCTTTCTCAAGCTGCTTTTCACTGTTTTGTTAAGGCATCGAGATAAGCATGTTTCCTTTTTATATATTCTAAAGCTATAGTTTCAAAGATCCTTACTACAAGCAATATTCTAAAATTATACTTCAAAAGGTTATTATTGCAAAACTCTTTAAGGCTTAGCTACAAGCAGAAAGTTCCTGTCAAACAGCAACATCCTTACAGTTTTAATTCAAATGCTCCTAAATCACCTTAAGACTTATAAAGGTTAATTGTGGACAAAGGATAGGTTCAAAGGCCTTCTTCCATGCTTTACTTCCTCAGTTATTTATTAGAATTGTCTTTATAACTGTCCCATGGTCAGTTTCCACACATATCACAATCACAAATACACGTTGCCTGTATGTACCTGACACGAAACACAGCTTTGTATTTCACATTACTGATTGGCATATGAAGCTGTCAGCGTGACACTTTGAAAATGTGAAGTAGTGCAGAGTATTTAACTCTGTTACTGTCTTAGTTTAAGGCAATTATATGGGGTGGAGACTCCACAATGAGTTACCTTCTCATAGTTTTAATCACTCCCCTTTTACCAATAAGGAGAAATGAATGTGAGAAGATCTAAGTGAAAAAATAACAGTTTACTAAAAAGAAAAAAACAGCAATAACCACTAGATACAAAGGTGCTGAGTCACCTCATCCCCTGGGAACAAAGAAAAGATGGTGGAGAAGCCCTCTCCTCCCAAGATGATGGCAGCCATAGCAGCCCATGTGGCCTAGAGAACAAAGACAAGATGGCAGAGAAGCCCCCTTCTCTGGACCACTGGCAGAGAGAGAAAACAAAGGAAAATCAACACAGCAACTGAGCCTGCTGTTCCACAACTCCCTTCTCCCTCAAACAACAACTGACAGGGGACAGGGACAAAGCAAAACCTGGGAAAAAACCCATTTTTGTCCAAAAGGCTTCAATGCTGCTAAAATGCTGGAAGAAACTTCTCTCCTTGGCATGGCTGGAACTGGAGCAACAGCTGGAAAACTTGTGGAGAATGGGTCTGACTCCTCCTTGGCAAATGGCAGGTGGCTGGAACTGGAGTAGCAGCTGAAAAACTCATGACGAAAGGATCTCGACCCCTCATCATGAAACAGCAGGCAATGGTAGCAAAGGTGTTTCAAAATCTGCTCTGAAGTAGCTACAGATTGCGAAATGCAGCTTTGTGGGTTGTGACTGGGAGACCTGCCCAAGGCAACCCCTTTGGGAGCCCAGAGCGAACAAGAGTGCTCATTGGTGTGCATTCTCTGTTTTTAAAAGGACCCAGCCCCCCTCCTTTCCCTGAACTGGGGTAAAACACACAAATTCCACTTCCTGGGTTGTCAGGTCTTAAAGAGACTAATAATCTTGAGCAGGTTGGCATGGAGAAGATATGAAATACATGAGGTTTTTTCGGTCATCTAGGTCACCTAGGACAGTTACAAATGCTGATTGTCTTGGAACATTGAGCAAAGCAAATATTACTTCCCTCAAGGAACTGGGACAGCTGCAGTAACTTCTTAGCCAATAAGCAGCTGGTGTTTTATGGTGGAATAATTTTTTAGACTCAGGATTTACACTTGGTGATCTTCTCTAAAGCTTGCATTTGTGGTAAACTCCAAAAGTGAAGCAGTTTGAGACTGATTAAGTCTGAACTCGCGAGGTACAGAATTTCATGTGGGTATCCTGTGAAGTGAGACTGCCTAGGATGAATCCTTTCTGTCAAGAATTTCAGGGGATGATGTGGTCCCCTTCTCAGTAATGAAATCTGCAGTACATCAACTTGCATTTTGGGTCCTGGCTCTCTTCAGTATCAGCCTTCTCTAGCATGAGATAGTAGCCTCTTCTGTTTGGGCAGAAATCAAATGAGGTCCAAGTTCATGTAGCATACAGTTATATTTGGTATTTTCATGGGAATGCAGTTAAGTAGGCTGCAGATGCCATACTATGAAGAGCAGCCTGTATGATGTGCCATTAATGTTTTTGAGTAGTTTTTAGGGTAGCCATAGCCTATTTGGGTTTATAGCTCTTTACTGCATCCATCCATTTTAGTCTTTCAGCTTTTGGAGAAGTTGCCAGCATGGATTTGTTGTCCAGAAATGTTACAAAAGCACCAAATATTTTGTCAAGAGCAAGATTTTTTAGCAGTTTTCAGAGACTTGTATTCAGTTATAAAAAAAGGAAGTTCAGCTGTTCATGAGCAGAATCTTGAGGCATGACTCAGTCTCGTGCTCATAAAACTACAGTCAGGTGGTTATTGGGAGAGGTGTGGAAGGTGATGTGAACAGGGATCATCAGATGTGGTAAATTTAGAAATACCATTGTCAGTTTGTTATGATAAAACTATCTCTGGAGTGGTAGATACTAAATAAAAGAAATATCAAAGTGTAAGCTTCTGTGGTAAATTCTATTATATGGTTGTCTTGTCTGTGTGGTGAGCTTTAACTGTGGTTCAAACACATTAGAATATGTTGAAATTGCTTCTGTTCTAGCTAACTTTTTAACTATAAAATGGGCATAGAGATGTTAATCCCTTCCCTGTAGCACCGCTGTGCTTGTTGTGTATATTCTTTTTGAGAATCTTGAGAGAAAAAAAATAAAGTGACATTCTAGTGACCAGTGACAGGCCTGATGTTGTGTCAGGGGAGGGCTAGGCTGGATATGAGGAAAAGATTCTTCCCCCAGAGGGTGGTTGAGCACTGAACTGATTTCCCAGGGAATGGTCACGGCCCAAGGCTGCCAGAGCTCCAGGAGGGTTTGGACAATGCTCTCAGGCACAGGGTGGAATTGTTGGGGTGTCCTGTGCAGGACCAGGAATTGCACTTTGATAATCCTTGTGGGTGCCTTCCAACTCTGTGTATTCTGTGATTGTGATAACTAGGAGATACTTTAAAAAATATAGTTAAATGTTGTGTACTTTATTTTATGTTTGTTTTTCAGGCAACAGCAGAACAGATTCGCCTTGCTCAGATGATCTACGATAAGAATGACACAGATTTTGAAGATAAAGTGAAACAAGTATGTTTCTTATGATAGAGTTTTTATGCCCTGTAACAATGCTGACTTATGTTTTGGAGGTAGAGCATGTTTCTGATTAGATGAAACCTTTTTCACTAGGATAGAAGTTTAACTAGAAGAAGGTGCTCTTATTGCCCTGTAAAGTCTGTTTTCAAGAAATTGTGTGGTAATATAGCTATGACTGTATGGTTATACTGGTGTATTTTCCTTTGGCCTTTAAGCCAAAACTCATCTGTGCTGATCTCTTCCAGACTATATCTCTTTAGTATGGTCACAATTGAATAACTGTCAGAGTAAAGAGTGCATTCAGGTTGTTCATGTGTACACACACATGGGAAAAATGTCACCTGTGTAAACTGAGTTTGCCAATATATTGGTTGTTTTTCAGGAAAAGTGAAAATCATAGAATCATAGCTTAAAGGTAAATTGAGGTATTATTATTAAAAAAAAATAAATAAATTTGACCTCCCAGAGCTGTGTATGCAGCTTTAATGACTTTTCCTTTGTAAAACCTTCTCTGAAGCATTAAGTGCTTTTTGTTGTTATAAACTTGTTTTGGTGATGTGCCAGAAGTGAAGTTTTGTACTTCCTGAAGCCATAGTACCCTCATCAATAATGCCTGTAGCTGTGCTGGTGGGAAGGACAAGAAATAAATTCTGCATAGGAAATCTCCAAGCATAAAGTTAAAGGGAAAAAAAAAAAGTGAGAGTGCTTTCTTGATTATAATTTAATTAGTGTTTACATTTATTTAGGATTTTAGTTTGCTGTGACACAGTAGCTTATGCATGTTTTTTTTGAATCTGTGGTGATACTAACTCTTATTTTTTTACAAAGATAATTTGAATATTTTAACATGTCTGACTCTTACTGCCAGCTTATGGAAGTGACGGGGAAAAACCAGGATGAGTGCATAGTGGCACTACATGATTGTAATGGGGACATGAACAGAGCAATTAACATATTGCTGGAAGGAAGTTCAGACACGGTAAGGTTTTACTTTCCTATTAAGCTGTTCTTTTTGTTTCCACTTCTTAGAAGTGATTGGGAAAGTCACATTTTGGAAGCTTTCAATTTCCATGCCTCCAAATTCTTTTGGAGGAAATGGAGACCAGGACAGCTTTTCTGCTGCATGCATAACTTAGACTAGGCTGAACCTTGAAAATGTTGTAGGTGTTTAGCTGGTTTCTTGCAGAATCCTTTGGTTTTCATTTACATACAATAATTTTAACTCTGCAGCAGAAATCATTGCTCTGTCAGACACAGGCCTGTTTTTTTGCTCCAATGTTTGTAGTGATGCCTAGAGAGGCTACCTGGAACAGAGGCTAGACAGTGTTAAAGGAATAAAGTAAGTATTTATTAAAAGGCTTTCAAAGGATACACCTTGGGCAGTACAAGAGCCCGGCTGTGGCTCTACCCAAGATGGACGCAAGATGGACGACTGGTCACAAGTTTTCACACTTTTATAAGTTTTGGTCCATTTACACATTGGGATTAATTGTCCAATTACAGCTTCAGGTTATGAAGTCCCATCCTCCCAGATTGCTTGCCTCAATTTGCTGTTGTTTATACTTTTTTGGGCCCGAAGCTGCAACGCTGTCCTTGGTTCTCAGACTGGGAAAGGATTGTTTTGTCTTAACTAAACTGTGAGGAGAACTTACTAACACTTTATATGAAGTTCAGAGTCACACACTAAGGCAGTACAGAATCTGAAAAATGTGAAAGCTAAAACTTAAAGCATCAGTAGCACCTCCCAACCATGAGACCCGAGTCTGTTTGCCTCAAAGGATAATCTTTATAAACCTAAAGTGCAGGTAGACATTTTAAGTTGGGCAGCTTATGTAGGTTTGCATTGTCAGTATTAAATTTGGAGGAGGTTTCCACATCTGAAAGTTGCATTGGCAGCACTATGAACGGCAAAAGAGAATACAAGTATCCTTTCACTGTTGTTCATTTGCATAACTTAATTGAAAACCAGAAAGAGGAGACTAAACAATGTGTATATAACAACAAATAATATTGTTTAGAATGTTACACAGCAATTTTCTATCCCAAGAGATACCAGGAAAATGTCTTGCTGCAGCTCAAGCTTTTGCTGGAGGGACTTCTTACAGTTTGTCTAAGACAGTAAGCTAGTTTCTATCTCATCTAAATTGGGAAAGAAACCTGGACTTCCTTTCTTAATGCTGAACATTCTGTATTTCCTGTGATTTGTCAGGAAGTGTGGTCTGTCTTATTGTTAATGAGGAAACCCACCCCCACACACCCTAAATCTAGAACACGTACTGTTCTGACTGAGAGGACTTTCTTTCCTATCCCCTTTTCATTTATCAGAGTTGAGGTAATCTAAAACACAGAAATATATAATACTGAACAAACTGTCAAGTTGGGAATAGAAGAGAGCATCTCATGATTAAATCTGTGTTGGTAATATGCTGGTTTTGTGTTCTTTTGCACTTCTCATATTTGCCATTTTCTAGTTGAAAATAGTTTTCTGACTGATAGAGAATTTTAAATGCTTCCTTACTTTAGCAAATTTTTTATAAGTGATCATGGCATGGAAGAAACTTTCTGAACTCATTCATCAATTAGAAGCAGCATATCCATATATTGTTCTTTTGACAAGTCCCTCTGAACCCACTGCACTTTGTAGACAAAATGCAACTCAAACAAATACAGACAATTTGAAGGACTCAAGAAGGAAGGAGTATTAATTAGAAGGGGTTCTCATCAGAGTGTAAATAAACTTAATGCAAATTTGTGGGCTTCCAACTTGAAGGCCTTTATACTCCAGAACACTTTAACTGTGGATTTGATGTAAGGTTGGAAACAGAGGTGGTACTAGTTCTGAATGCAGATTCCCAAATTTCTTTTTTTTTAGTTTCACTGCTTTGATGCACTGGAGGGTTTTTTTACCTCATTTGGAAGAAGACATGTCTATCCAAATTGAGGAATTAAAAGAAGAAGGAGTGATAACTAGAATGTCCATTTATAATTTCTTTGGTACTCTGCCAGTTTTGTCTTTTTTTAAAATGCTGTAATGTTTAAGGCTTTATGCTCCGTGACTGTTAGTCTTTATGAAGACTTCACTTGCAACAGTTGTGTCAGTCTGTCTTTGGAGAGACAGAGGCTTGTGGATGAGAGTTGAGAAGGGCACGTTTCTTTGCCCAAGACTTCTATTCATTTAACTTCGTACAGTCATAAGATCCATTTTATGTCTGACCGTGTGTTACTTCCTAAGCCTTTTAAGATAGAACAAAGGGGACGTTTCAGATTATTCTTCTTTCCATCTAAGACCAGGCCAGCAAGGCAGTTTCTGTTACATATTTTTGAAGGTCAGGCCCACAGCTGTCATTTGGGTTGCCTCAGGCATCCTCAGCTGAAATTGTAAGCGAGCTAATTGATTGCAAAAGGAGACAGATTCAATAGTCTGTGATGGATTCCCATGCCCAGAGGTAGCATCATACTGTATCTGAAAGGACATGCCCAACTTTTTGAGGCTTTCCTCAAAATTATACTGTGGGAAAGCACGGATCCGATGCTTTTGGAGTAATCCTTTTACTGATCCTTCCTAAGTCATGAAAAACCTTATTAAGGAGAGGCTGCTTCCTCTTCAACTTTGCAGACTCACCCAGTTTTGGTATTTATTGCAATGGTTCAAGATTTTTGGCACCATGCCCATCAGTAAAATAGTCGTGCGTTCTGAAATTTATAGATTTGGTTCTTGAGTTGTCAGTGCAGGTTGGGTTTTTTCTCCTGTGAAATAACTAAAGTTTTAGGAGTATTTTAGTACATAATACAGTTACACAGGCTATGGCAGATGAAGCCATGTGATAGTTACTGGGGGAAACAGTTTTCTGCCTCACAAATAATGTGGTGTTGCTCAAACACCTAGTTTTGTACTTGTAATCTGTGCTGTCTGTGCTTCACCTAAGTTGGTTTATGGTGATATAGTCTTCTATACTGGGCATGAAATTGAAAAGTGATTTCAGCCTTCTTTCTCACCTATATCATGTAAAAAAAAAAAAAAAAAGAGAATAACTATTCTTGTAGTACTTATTGTCTCAAAGGAGATACTGAAACATTGAGTTTATACTTGTAAACTGCTTTGTTACCTGCTTTCTCAATAGAATTAGTTTCCTCAATTCTAGGCATCTTGGACTATCTGATCATTGCCTGCCTTATGAGGGCTGCTGAGTTGCTGTTGTCTGAATTGAGAAGAGATAGGACAGAACTTGAAACTATTGATAGCCAACCTTTTTTGTTGAATGCAGGTGCCTGTCAGAGGTCATGGCTTTTTGTAGTGCTTCACGGTTGATGCCATCTCATTTGCATGTGCAATTTTACCTCTCAAATACCTTACCTAGAAAAAAAGCTCCTAGAGATGGGGGCATATATATAAACCTATCTGCCATCTTAATGGTTTGCTCATAATACCTTTCTTTTTTCTTTTGCAGCTAACAGTTCAATAGACTAACTGTGCAATTGCATAATATGAGTTGCTGTGCTATTCTTGATGAGTGTTTTAGTTGTTTTATTTTCAATTTCTATAGAGCTGATATGATCCCTGAATTTATTTTAAAGGTGGAATTTAATATTAAAGCCAAAGCTCCAGTTTTCCCAAGTTATTGTTTTGCCATTCTGTCTCTTGGTGCTTGAATTCTAGTACATCTGGATAGCAGTTCCCCCTGGCCACGTACTTACTGTCTGTTGTTCAATGATACTTATAAACATTTTTTCATTTCCTTTGGAGAGAAGAATAGCTCTGTACATGCTCCCTTGCTAGATTTATAGAGGTAGTTGAGAGGGAAACTGTTGCTTGCTTTGCAGATTTTCTATGTTGTGGTCATATCTAGGCTTCCTTGAACTAGTAAAAGTCCATTATAGCCAGAAATATTTGGGATTCTCACATTTCATAAGAAAATCCAACTTTTAAAACGTGTTTCTTTTTCATTTCTTTCAAAAAAAACCAACTTATGTTTCCATTTGTATCAGTGTAATATGTATGTGTGGCTGTTTTTTTCCCATGAACTAGAGGGATGTGAGGTAGAAGCATACATTGAGAGCTGTCTCTTCCTTTTTGACTTTTGTATCTAATTCTATTCTATCCAAATAGACTTCTTGGGAGACTGTAGGGGGAAAGAAGAAAAACCTTGGAAAAGAAGGTTTGGAAAACAAAGAGAACAGAGAGAAACGAGGGGACAGAGAAATGAGCCGTGGATGGGGAAGTTCCAACAGACGGGGAAGAGGAGGCAGCCGTGGCCGAGAGTGTATGTATTTGGGTTCATTTTTAAAGATTCAGATGCTTTTTTTGCAGCTGAAACTGGTTAAGAGCAAATGCTTAATGGAGTAAAGTCTGTCCGAGCTATTGCTCAGCACTGAAGGGATCGTCTATACAACAGGTATGCTCGATCTGTCTACTTGGTTTTGAGATGGTCTGTGTTTATTCAGAGACACTAAATTTAAATTTATGTGCTTTTTTGAATAATTGATCTTGTACAAATTGCTGTTCTTTTTTAAGTTTTATAATTGACTCTGTAAAACTGCTTGAGAAGCAAGTATGTTGCTGCACAGCTGATACGCTTTTTTTCTTTTAATGAAAAAATTATCCAGTTTTGATTACATCTCCTTTTATGAGTGGGAGAACCTGAAGATGTTCTCCTCTTTTTATAAAGGGGAATGACAAGACTGGGATCATTATTACTCTCTAGCATATGTTACTCATAAGCCAACCAAATGTGAGTTTCTACAACACAGAAAGTTCTTTGTGGGTTGAAATGTTTGAAATTTTTCTACAGCTTATACAGGTGCAAAAATACATTGTACAAAAGCAAACTGATGTTTCCAAGTTAGGTAGCATCACATTAGATTGCCATTGGGTGCGCATTGCTTTTTTCTATTTATCAGCAGTATCAAAGCTATATAAATTGCCTGTAAGGGCCATACACACTGATAGATGAGCAGAGAAACACCAATGAAAAAATATCTTTAGCTTTTTACTTAAAAGCAGGAAAAAAAATTACAATATTAGTAAATTCTTTTATTTATTGTAATATCTTCAAATATTGTGCCAGTGAGGACATTGTGAATCTTTGTAAAATAATGTCAAAGTTAGGAAAAATTAGTAATAAAACTTGCAGCTATGCTTAGAAAAATTGAATTCATATCCATCAAAATGAAAGTGAAGGGCAACATTTTTGACAGAGCCAGATGCTGCTTGCCTCTTTTTGGAAACTGGAATTAAAGATTTGTTTCAAGTTGTTACCAAGTCTTGATATCTCCTCCCACTGCAAGCATTATTTGTTTTGTTGCTGCTGTTAGGAAAAGTTGTGCAGTACAAAATCTCAAGAGTGTTTTAAGTGGTCAGTCTTTTTTCTTTTTTTTTTCTCCTCTCCTTCCTTCAAAGAGCCAGCCATCTTTTGGAGTACTTCCTCAGGAGTTTTCTGTGAAATAGTTAAAGTGCAGTGTGCTTTTCTAATGCCTCACCTTCACCTGGTTGTTATCCTTTTCATTTAAATACAAAGGAGAGTTGTTTTAAGTTTCCCTGGTTGTACAGGTATATGGTATGGGCAGACAAAAGAGTTGGTGTTCTTGGTTGTTCCTTATTCTTTCACTGTTGCCACACAGCCTGTTATTGAGGAAGCATAGTATGAGGCAGCTTTTTTTCCGACCTTGTTAAAGAGGTGAGGCCATAATTAATAGTGTAGGCTGCAAAACACTGCCTTTCTCCTCTCCCCCAAAACCCCAACCCAACAGAAATGTGTCTGCTGAAGGGCATTTTCCTCTTAGATATTTTGCTTCCTAATGGTCTAGCGCAAAGTAAACATAACTTGCTTGTAGCTAGGCTGCAGAAGAACAGGGCTGACTGATATCTGTTAACCAGCCCGCTTGAAAATCTTGCACTTTTTTTTGAGGTTTAGGTTAAGCAGATTGCTATACTGTCTCATGCATGAGTCTCTTAAGCTGTCCTCTCTCCACAGTCAGAGCTGAAGAGAATGGAGTGGACAACAGTCAAGGAGACAGGCCTTCAGACCGTGGGAAACGTAGCCATGGGAGAGGTGAGATGGTAGTATTGGTGCAGGACTGGCACCAATGATTTCATATCCTGAAATCGAACTCTCCCATTTGTTTCTTTAAACACTTCTTTTTAAGTATTTGTTGGTTATCCTTTGATTCCATAAGCATTTCATCCACCTTTAATTTAAGTACATTCCTCTCCCTTGTTGCTTGTTATGTCTTGGTCTCAGAACAACTTAAAAGAATTGACACAGATGACTTCTATGGTAATTTCCTGTGTAGCAGGCTTGTGTGCTCTGGCTATGGAGACCTGTTTTCCCAGATTGACTCATGTCAGCCTTTTGAGAGTGGGAGTATGCTGGGCTCTGCAGGATGTACCTTGGCAGCAGGAGAGCACAAGATTCCATCTGTATGGCTCTCAGGGAAGAGTTTGATGTGTACTTGTGTTGTTTTTTTGGGGTAGATCTGGTTGTCAGGCTTGTCTTCTGTTTTTGGTAGCCAATCGGAGAAAGTACAAGCCACCTTAGAGGCTTTTTGGTAAGAGAAGGAATTCAGCATAGAGGACTTGATGAGAAGAACTGTGGAAAAAGAATACTGCAGAGTCTTAGGTACAACAATCTTCTCCTGTAGAAGATATAGGAAAGGTGTTGATAATGGATTTGATGTGGAATCAAGGGATGTGTAGTTGGTTTGATTTTCATGTGTTGAAGTGGAAAGAGGCTTGTTTCTTCTAAGAGCAGGAGTAATGAAAATGAATAACTTGGGTACAGTGCAGATTGTGTGAGGAAGTGGGCATTAAATGAATTAAATTGAGAAAGTGCATAGCAGAGCTAATGTACTTAAGTAATGTCTGATTGGTGAAAAATTCTGCCTTCAAATGCTCTCTTCATTGAAATATTCAGTAATGAGGCATTCAAAGACAGGCACATCCAACTTTGTTGTCTCCCGATCTGCATCTTGAAGGAATGGAAACATGCAAAGACATGTAGCTTCCAAAGGATTGCAAAAATGACTCAGTTGTACCCGTGAATCAGCAAATACCAAATGGCATGTGTAGAGAGGTAGCCTTGCAGGGGAGGGTGTGGCATAGTTCACAGCTATAGATTTTTGGTATGTTAGCACTGTTAATAGATGGAATGTAAGTATTTCAGTTAATTGTTTTATAAAATAATCCTTTATATTCAAATCATAAAGGTAGGAGTTTTTTAAATTGTTGGGTGAAACGTAGAGGTTAACTTTAAATGCAGTCTGTTTTTTGCTTTGAAACCTTATGAACAATACACTGCTTTTGTTGTCAACACTGTAGCTCTCTAGATTAATATCATGTCTTAAGCCAAAACACTGACCTATCTGACTGAAGAAATAGGAACAACTTCAACCAATTTTCATTCACTGGCTTGGTGTACAAAGTATTACTGTATCTCTCTACCAAGTATTTTAGACTGTGCATTCATGTGAGAAGAGTATCTTAATGAAATGTTTTCAACTGTCTGGGATAAACTGGTTGACTTCAGTATTACTATATTACAAGCATGTGTATTCTGTGGCAGGAAATACCTAGTTAAATTTTAATGCAAACCTCTTGTGGTTTTTGGCCAGGACAGTTATTTTTATCGCAGTAGCCATGAGAGAGAAGAGCCTGGAGCCATCTGGGCATGCCTAGGTTGTTATTCTATACTACTCACATCACTGCCAGGGGGTGGAAGTAAGGGATTCTCACTTCTGAGAAGGAGGGGCAGCATGGTTTATGGTCGAGAAGAAAAAGATGGCACATGGAGTGTCCCCCCACCATTTTGTTCATTGTCTTTGGAGTTATGCAGTGCTGGGTTGGTTGATGAATGTGGGGATTTTGGGGGTTTTTTGCATGCAAATCACCCTTTTTTTGTACGCTTTTGTTAGTAGTATTGTTGCTGTTACTGTTAATTTTCTTATCTCATTGCTTTTTCCAGTAAATAGTTTTATCTCAACCTGTAATCTCTGCCATTCTTATCTCCCACTGAAGGGGAGGAGTGGGGGGGGGGGGGAAAGGGGACACCCAAAATTAAGGGGGGCGGCTCCAAAACC